AATTCTTCCAGTCAATGAACACAACTTGTGCTTCCATTTCTTTGTGTCTCCTTCTATTTCTTTTATCACTCTTTTATAGTTTTCAGCATCTTTTATCTCTTTGGTTAAATTTAGTCCTAAATATTTAATATTTTATATTTTGTAGCTTTTATAAATGAGAGTATTTTCTTAATTTCTTGTTAATATTGTGTTTTGTTGGAACTGACCCTGTACTGCTGCAGTTAAGTATTACGCACTGGGAGCCAGATCCCACATGGCCAACCACTGTGCAAATCACGGCCCCAGTGGCTTGAAAAATGTGCAAAGTACATGCACATGGATGCCCCCTGATGGGGCACAGACAGCAGAAAATATAATTCTGTGTGATCATGCCCCATTTGGGGGTGCTGTTGCACTCTCCTTCTAAGTACACATGTCCTCTAACAATTAAAAAATGTTTATATAATGTTATATAAATTGTATGTAATTTGTTGGTAGTTGTTGCATAGAAACACCACTGATTTTTGTATGTTGGGCTTGTAACCTAAAACTTCACTGAATTTTTAAGTTCTAACAGGTTTTCTATGAAGTCTGGCTTATGTATACCTATATGTATATCTATATCTATATCTATTCATATATATGTGTGTATATATATATTTTACAGCTTTTATAAATGACAGAATTTTCTTAATTTCTTGTTAATATTGTGTTGGAACTGACCCTGTACTGCCAGTTAAGTATTATGCATATATATATATATATATATATATACACACACATATATATATATACATACATACAAATATATACATACATATATATATATTTGGCTAATATTTAATGTCTATATATGTTCATATTCATATATATTCATATATATATGTATGTGTATATATATATACATATATACACACACACACATATATTATATATAACATTTGGTTAATGTTTAACTAAATACCTGGACCACAGCCCAATCAATTGGACACTAAAATTAGCCATTTATGTATAGATAGATATTGATATTCATATATATTCATATTCCTATTCATGTCTTCAACAAACAGAGACAATTTAATTTCTTTTCAATTTAGATACCTTTGATTTCTTTTCTTGCCAAATAGCTGTGGATAGAAGCAATACTATGCGGAATAGAAGTGGCAAAGGCAGGAATTCTTGTCTTGTCCTTAATCTCAGAGGAAATATCTTCAACTTTTCATCATTGAGTATAAAATTAGATGTGTGTGTATCATATATGTCCTTTATCTTGTTGAGGAACATTCCTCTGTGCCTATTTTGTCAAGAGTTTTTATCGTGAAAAGATGTCGAATTTTATCAAATGCTTTTTTGTATGTCTATTATAGTAATTATAAGGTTTTTGTCCTTCATTCTGTAATATGGTGAAACACATGGTGCTCAGCACAGTAAGTGCTTTGCAAGTGTTTATTATTTTTTCAATGTAGTCTAAGTTCTCCAGAATAACAAAAGAAATGAGAGAGATCGCCACATATTTACATAGAGATTAGATTGATAAAGATACTCCTGTCGGTCTATCTCTAACTACGTATGTCTGTCTAGTTCTCTATCTAGCTACCTACTGAGAGACAGAGAGAGGTTTTCATGGTAAGGAATTGGATCACATGATTAAGGAAATTGGGAAGTCCAGGATGTGCAGATGGCAAGCTGGAAACCTAAAAGGAGCAATGGTATATATATTTCCAGCTTAAATCTGAAGGCCTGAGAACCAGAAGAGTTAATGTTGTAGGTCCCAGTTTGAGTCTGAGTTTGAAGGCAGAGAAGATTGATGTTCCAGCTTGAAGATAGTCAAAGGCTCTTTCTTAAAGAGATTTTTATGGATATGACTTACTCACATAGGGGAGGGCAATCTGCTTTATTCAGTCTACCAATTCAAATCTTTTTTTTTTTTGGATAGGGTTTTTTGTTTGTTTGTTTGGTTTTTTTTTTTGTTTTTTTTTTTTGTTTGTTTGTTTGTTTGCTATGGGGCACATGCACTCGCCAGAAAGACAAGAGAGAGACAGAGAGACAGAAAGCAAGAAATCACTCCCTAGGGAGAATGGCCACGCTGCAATCCCTTCTCCTCCATTCTTCTCTCCAGATCTTAGGCACAGACGCAAACGTGCCCGGCGTGAGGTTAAGCCACCGGGTCCAGTACTTAAACCGCGGTCGACTATGTGCGAGTCCAACAACATAGCCATTACACTAACTGCTGGTCCCCCACTTCAAATCTTAATCTCATCCAGAAACACCTTCACAGACACACCTGGAAATAATGCTTAACCAAATAGCTGGGCATCAACTTGACACTAAAATTAACCATCACTCTTGCATATACAAATGTACTTTTTCTTTTTTTATTTTGAGAGAGAGATTTTTGCAATAGAACATGTGTGCTCACCAGAGATACAGAGAGAGACATAGAAATAGAAAGTGAGAAATCATCCCCAGGGTTGCAATCCCTTCTCTTTCATTCTCCTCTTGGAATCTTGGGTATGCACGCACATAAGCCCTGCACGAGGTTTTGTTTTGTTTTGTTTTGTTTTTTAGAGGTTTTTGCTATAGGGCGCATGCACACGCCAGAGAGACAGAGAGAGACAGAGAGATAGAAAGCGAGAAATCACCTTCCAGGAAGGATGGCCACACCGCAATTCATTCTCCTCTCTTCTCCTCTCAGGATTTTGGGCACACACGCACATGAGCCTGGTGTGAGTTTAAGCCACCAGGTCCAGGACTCGAACCATGGTTGACTAAAAGGGGGTCCAGCGACATAGCTATTATGACAACCGCTGATCTCCAGACTAAACTTTTTAAACTTAGGGAAGAAAATAAAGAAAAACTCGAGCTAAAACATGGTGAATTTTAAAGAGGCAACCAAGATGATTTATACCAAAAATAAAAATATATGTGTGAAAATAAAAATTCAATGAAGAATTTGTTTATCTAGGTTATGTATACATTGTTATAAACATACCCAGGCAAAATATATGAACTATTAAAATTCAACCAAATTTCGCAATTTAGGTCCTCACTTGCAATTTTGTTATTTTATTTAACATTGTCAAAAACAATCTTCTGTTCCAAGCTATGTTATAACCATCATAGCATTCACTAAGAGGTCAGATCCCACATAGTGACCACAGTTGGAACCCTCACCCCAGTCAACCTGAAACACGCTGGGCACATGCACAAGTGCCCGGGACCCAGTGGACTGGAGGACTGGACGAAGAGGAACTGTGGCACAACCAGACCCTGTGCAGGGCACGCTTCTGTGTCTGTCTGCTTCTCTCTCACACATGCGTATGCAAGGGCTCTGGGATGAATGAAGATAAATAAATAAATACTCAATTACTCTGAGTGATGCCCAACAGTACATATTGCATCCTTTGCTTTCCTTTAGTATGGCCCAATTTTACGCTGAGATTTTGCTAGAACAACTTACTTGTCTCTTATCTTTTATAATCTTGTATCTGTATCAAACTTTTCATTAATCCAATTAAGGGAATGTAAGTGGGAGACATCCAGCAGGTCATTTGTGCGACCTGAATTTCTGAAATCACATGAAGGTGAAACAGCAGGGGTTACAAAAAGCTGATGGTTAACCTTTTGTCATTCACATCACCTCCCCGGGCCCCCAGCAGGGTAATTAGGTCTCTTTATAAACTGATTTGGTCCTGTTGATGCTTTGATTAGGCAAGATATATATCAATCCTCCAAAAGTAAGTGGTCCAAAGAAAACAGAGGTCAGAGGAATAGATAGTTGAGAAATAACCTTGCAGCCTAGAAGGAAAAGTACATGTTAGTCTACTTTCTATTAATACAAATAAGGTACCAAATGGCAGATGTGTTATTATCAATGTTTAAATGGCAGAAACAGCCCCCTGAAGAAGACATTAGTATGGTGAGGTATTATTGTCTTTTTGCAAAGTGAGTTAGGACACTAGGCACTCCTTTTCCCAGGCATGATTCTAGTCAGGTAGTCACTATATAAAGGGTAGAGCTCGAAAATGGAGCCATTTGGTGGAGAGGCACACTGGCTGGAAGGCATGAAGATGTTTCATTATTTATAAGGAAAACAGTCTCAGTCTTCTCAGGGATATTCAGAAAAGCAAACTGGGGGGCAAGCCACCTTTAAGTTGTATATGCAGCAAAGAGATGACAAGAATCTAAGGATTAATTAGCTTCCCATCAATTGGGCCTTTCTAAACTGCAGCAAGTATATGACAAGATCCAAGTAAATGTTTGAAGAGACTGCTTGGCAAAAAGCCTGCAACCATACCGCTATTTATAATCTGTAAGGTAAAATTAATGCATTCATTTCTTCTTCATTTCTATTTAATGTTTATTCTGATGGCATTTCAAAACATTTCTGTTGACACGTGCATGATATGAATTTAGCAGTCCTAGTACACTTAGGAATATGTTTTGTTGCTCTCGAGTTAACAAATGGAACGTGATGTTAGGCAAGGCATACTATTGCTAGTTTACTGCTAATCCATAGATCAAACCCGAGTACTAATTTTTTTTACATCTGAACCTCACTCTCATTCTTATTTCTTTGGGAAGAAAATTTATATTAATTGAGCATTGTTTTTATTGATCATGGGTGATAACATATATGTTGTTAAGAACTGATGGGGGACCAGCTGATGGCGTAATGGTTATGTTGTTGGACTCCCACATAGTTGACCTAGGTTTGAGTCGTTGGACCCGGCTGCTTAACCTCATGCCAGGCATGTGTGCGTGCCTGCCCAAAATCCTGAGAGGAGAATAGAGAAGGGATTCCCGTGTGGCCATTCCTTGCTGGGGGGTGATTTCTTGCTCTCTGTCTCTCTCTCTCCACTGAGTGCATGCACCCTTTAGCAAAAATCTCTCTCGAAAAAGAAAAAAAAAAAAAAGAAGACTGTCATGCTTCTAATAATGTGTTCTTTATAATTAAAGGTGAGTTATTACAAAACTCCAATGATTCAACTCTAATTTTATTATTTTTGTTTTTTTCATAGGAAACTCATAGAGACTCATCTGAAAACTATTCCTAGTCATGCATTTTCAAATCTGCCCAATATTTCCAGGATGTAAGTAATTTCTTAACATAAAGAGAAATTTGCAATTGTGGTGTATTTTCTAAGTGTTTCCTATCAACAAAAATATTTGTTCCTCTACTTGCATAAGCCAATGGCATCTACATTTTTAACGTATATAAAAAATTTAGGTTCATGATGTTTATTTGATTTTGCTATGCTTCCATTCCATAATTACCAGAGGACATTTTTTTGTTTTGTTTTAAACCTAAAGCAAATTTAAATGCATTTGATCTTGCACATAACTCTCAGTGTATTTTAATACATCTTGGGATCTGGTAAAACCTTAGCCAGGAATCTCTTCCATGTATAGATTTAAATATCTATCTCTAAGACATTTTTTCCTATTCACAATTTATCACTAATATGCATTTTACATTTTTGTGTGTATTTTTTTTCTATTTTATTTTATAATCTCTTATTTACATTTAATTGTTTTCTGTCCTGGTGGTACACAACATGTATTTTCAAACATGCATGCCACATGCACAAATCAAAACAAGACCATATTCATTGTTTTCAACAAAGAATACCACTTTTTATGTATGCATATACATAGTATATACATTTCCTATATATATGTGTAATTGTCAATTTTTTTTTCACCCAGTTGTAATATGCCATTCCATAATCCCTTTGCCCGATCTGCCTGCATTTCTAAGGCTGTTAAAAGGCTTTTCTCCTAACTCCCACCCCCAACCTTCATTCAGACTCTGGTATGTATAGTTGTCCTCTCTACTTCTGTCTTCAAATCTTTCAACTTCTGCTATAGAGTTCAGATATTTGGTATGTACTGAGTAAGGACATAGTTTGTCTTTCATAGTCTGACGGATTTTACTTAGCCTTAAATCTTCTAGATTCAGCCTCTTTTATCAAATGACAGGATCTTATTGTTCATTATGGGTGAACAGTATTCCATTGTCCCCATGTGCAATACTTTTTAAATCTAGTCATCAGCTGTGGACATTTAGGTCAATTCTAGCATTTGTTGTTGTTGTCGTTCTTCTTCTTCCTCTTTAGTAGAAATTCTTACTCGGGTTAGGTGATATTCATTGCATTTTCTTTATGATAAGAGATAAAAAACAGTTTTTCATATGCTTTTGGCCATTCATAAGTCTTTCTTTGAGAGTTGCCTGTTTAGATCAAATACCTATTTTAAAATTACATTAGTCTTTCTGCAGGTAAACTGCTTGAGTCCCCTTTATGTTCTGGTTATTAATCTCTTACTTAAAGTATGGTTTGCAAATATTTTCTCCCATTCTGCGGGTAATTTATTGTTTCCTTTGCTAAACAGAAGCTTTTAAGTTTGATGTAATCCTACTTTTCTATTTTCTGGAGTTGTTGCCTGTGTTTTAGGGGTCTTAATTAGGAAATCTTTGCCCACCACAATGTCTTCAAGTGTTTCCCCTGTGTTTTCAAAAACTAATTTTATAGTTTGAGGCTTTACCTTTAGATCCTTGATTAATCTTGGGCTGACTTTTGTCAATGGTAAGATAGGGGTGTAGTTTCATTTTTCTGCAAGTGCATATCTAGTTTTCACAGCACTGTTTGCTGAAAATACTTTCTTTTCTCCACTGAGTTATCTTGTGCTCTTTGTGAAAAATCAATAGACTGTATGTTTTGGAGTTTATTTCTAGATTCTCTATTCTGTTCCATTGTCTATTTTTGTGCCAGTACCATGCTGTTTTGATGAACAGTTTTGTGATATATTTTGAAGTCAGGTAATGAGATGCCTCTAAGTTTATTCATTTTGCACAGTAGTATGTTGGCAATATGGAGTCTTTAATGATTCCAGACAAATTTCATGATTGTTTTTTCTATTCCTATGAAGAATGTCTCTAGTTATTTCTTTGGAATTGCATTAAATTTGTAAATCAATTTCAGTAGAATCTGTATTTTAATTATATTGATTCTCTCACTCAAATAAAAATTCATGTCTTTCCATTTTTTGTAACATTTTAAACTTCTTTCTTCATTGTTCCATAGGGGTTTTTTTTGGGGGGGGGAGGTGGTTTGCTGTTTCAATATTTTTTATTTTGGATTTGGGTTTTTGGGGTTTTCTTTATGTCAAGGTTGTTCTCCTAATTGGTTAGGTTTATTCTAAGTATTTTACTTTATTTTGTGGCTATTGTAAATGGGATGGCTTTCTTCAATTCTACCTGAGTCTATTCATTGTTGATGTATTAAAAAAAAAAACTTATTGATCTTTGTATATTGATTTTGTAGTTTGTAACTTTACTGAATTTATCACTTCTCCAGATTTTTTAATGGATTCTTTTGGATTTTCTTGGTATTTGAACAAGTCTGCAAATAGACACAATTAAACTTCTCCCTTCCCATTTGAACACCTTTTATTTCACTCTCTTGTCTGATTGCATTAGCTAGGACTTCCAATCTATATTGAAAAGAAGTGGAAAAAGCAGACAACCTTGTCTTGGTCAAGATTTTAGTGGAACAGAATTAAGCTTTTTCCTACTCAGTATGATGTTAGCAATGGGTTTGTCATAGATGGCTTTTACTGTGTTGAGAAACATATCTTCTATACGTATATTTTGTTGAGTCTTAATCATGAAGGGATGTTGTATTTTATCAAATGCTTTTCCTGTATCAATGCATATACTGATATGATCTAATTTGTACCTTTTCTTCTGTTAATGTGTTGCATTACAATAATTATTTTGCTAGTACCTTGTTTAAGATTTTTGCATCTGCATTCATCAGGAATATTGGTTTGCAATTTCCTTTGTTGTGTCCCTCTCTACTTTCGGTATCAGAATAATGGAGGCTTCATAAAATGAATTTGGGAGGATTCCTTCCATTTTGATCTTTAGAAATAGTTTGAAGAGAATTTGGGTTAATTCTTCTTTAAAAGTCTTGTAGAATTAAGAAGTAAAGCCACTGTGACCTGGGCTTTTCTTTGTTGGGAGACTATTACTCATGCAATTTCATTGCTTGTTATTAATCTAGGTATATTGTATGTGCCCAGATACTTGTCCATTTCTTCTAGATTTTTCAATTTGTTAGTGTATAGTCACTCATAGTATTCTCTAATCTTTTTTATTTCGACATTTTTAATTCCTGATTTTATTTACCTGAGTCCTTTATTTTTCTTAGTCTTACTAATGGTTTGTCGATTTTACTTATCCTCTCAAAAAAAATAGGTTTTTGTTATGTCAGTTTTTATAATGTTCTTTATTCTTGGTTTCATTTCTTTTTTTTTCTTTTTTGAGAGATTTTCGCTATAGGGCGTGTGCGCTCGCCAGACAGAGAGAGACAGAGACAGAAAGCGAGAAATCACCCTCCAGGGGGGATGGCCGCACCGCAATCCCTTCTCCTCCATTCTCCTCTCAGGATCTTGGGCACGCACGCACACGCGCCCGGCGTGAGTTTTAAACCACTGGGTCCAGGACGCAAACCGTGGTCGACTACATGGGAGTCCAGCGACATAGCCATTACGCTAACTGCTGGTTCCCGGTTTCATTTATTTCTGATCTAATCTTTATTATTTCTTTTCTTCTAGTACTTTTGGGCATTTTTTGTTGTTGCTTTTCCAATTCCTTGCGATGTATCATTAGGTTGTTTGTCATCTTTCTTGTGAGCACTAATTGCTATACACTTTGCTTTTAGTATTGTTTTCATTGTGTCCAAGATTATGGATAATTATGCTTTCATTATCATTTGTTTCAAGAAATTTTTCAATTTCATTTTAAATTTGTTTGTTGTTTCATAGTCATTCAGGAGTAAATTGTTTAGTTTCCATGTATTTGATTATTTTCTAAGGCTCTTTTTGTTGTTGATTTCAAGTTTAATTTCATTGTGGTCATAAAAGATGGTGGTTATGCTTTCTGTACTTTTAAATCTGTAAAAACTTGTTTTGTGTCCTATTATGTGGTCAGTCTTCAAAAATGTCCCATGTGAGGCTGAAAAGAATGTGTATTTTAGGGTTAAGAGAACTGATCTGTATATGTTGGATCCATTTGAATTATATCATTTTGTTCCTGTGTCTCTTCATTTAACTTTTGTCTAGATGACCTATCCAGTGGTAACAGTGGGCTTTTGAATCCCCCAACAATTAGTGTGCTATAGTCTCTCTCTCTCTTTAGGTTTAGGAATCTTTGTTTTATTTATTTGAGTGCTCTAATGTTGGGTACATAAATACTTATAACTGGATCTTTGTGGTAAATTAATCCTTTGAATAGTACATAGTGACCTTCTATGTCTCTGTTTACAGTTTTTTAACTTGAAGTCTATTTTGTCTGATATGTGTATCATGAATCCAGCTTTTTATATTTATGTTTGCATAAAATTACATTTTCCAGACCTTTGCTTTGAATCTATGTATGTATTTGTCAATGTGGTGTGTTTTTATCCTTTTTTTTTTGTAAGCAATATATGGGAAGGTATTTATTTGTTTGTTTTTGGTCTGTTCAGCCAGTCTGTGTCTTTTAATTGGGGGGTTTATATTAACATTCAACATTATTATCAATATGTACTTACTCCTACCATTTTATTATTTTCCTAGTTGTCTTGTTTTCTTATTTCTAATTCTTTTCCTTTGGTTTTCTTGATGTGGTATTCTCGTAAGCATTTCTTCAAGAGCTGGTCTAGTGTTGGCAAATTCTTGTAGTTTTTGTTTATCTTGGAATGGTTTTATTTCTCCTTTCAGTCTGAAAGATAATCTTTCTGGGTATAATATTCTTGGCAAAAATAGTTTTTCTTTCAGAATTTTGAATGTCTTTTCATTCCCTCCTTGCCTGCATGGATTCTGCTGAGAGGTCTAAAGTTAGTCTGATGGGGTATCCTTTATAAGTAATTTGATGCTTCTTTCTTGTCATTTTTAGAACATTATCTTTGTCTTTGACTTTTTCCATTTTGGCAATGATGTGCCTTGGAGAGTATGTTGATTCTATTTAGTGTCTTTTGCATTTCCTGGATCTGGATGTCTGCGTGTCTCTCTACATTTGTAAAGTTTTCAGAGTATCTCATGAAAGACATTTTCTATGCCTTTGCCAGTTTCTTTACTTTTTGGAATACCCATTATACAGATTTGAGAGTTTGATTTCCTGTATTAGATCCTTCATCTCCAGAGGTTCCATTTCATTGTTTTTAGGGTGTTTATCTCTTTATGGAATTTCTCCTTTATGTCATGAAATGATTTTCTTATCTTTTGGAATTGATTAACTCCTCTTAGATCTCATTGAATTTATATATATATATATATCAGTTATTTAATTAGGTTCTTGGCAAAAAAATCTAGAACACCAATTTGTGAGGATAAACTCCATTTGTAAGGGCAAACATGGATCGCAGGTAGCCCTGGAGCTGAGGAACAGCTTTGATTTTTGGAAAAATTTGTGAGTCCATAGCTTTCTGATCAGTCTTGCGCTGCTCTGAAATCTCGTATTTCTCCTTCTCTGTGTCGAAGATCTCACCTTCCTGGTGTCTGGGCTTCTGCAGTTTCTTTTTCTTGAAGTAAGCATCGGTAAGGTGCTTTGGGATTTTTACTTGCTAATATCAGTTTTTGTGGAGGTGGCATGACAAATTTCTGGTGTGTTCTACACAGTGGAACTCTATTGAGAACCAGTGATCCAGTTACAAGAAGCAAGCCACTGCTCAGCTGCTTCAGGAAAACCACTCTCTTGCCTCTGTGGCATCCAGTGAGGATGATCAGAATGGTCCCAGGAGTGATGCTAGCTCGCAGCTTTCTCACATGCTGACTGAAGGGGTTTTTTTTGCCGTGGCTTAACAGGCTTTCCAGGCACATCTTCAGTAGGATAATACCTAGGCATTTTGCACAGTTTAAGCACCCAGGTACCACCATTCTTGTCTCCACCAACTGGTTTTGTGACAGTCACAAGAACCTTCTCCTTCTTTTTCTTTTCGATCCTGGATTTAGTAGCAGAGTATTTCCTCTTGTACATGGCCTTCCTGGAATACATGGAAGACCGAGAGTATCTGTCGATGCCCCGGAATAGGATGTGGTTTCGGCTTCAATGGGGGTTCCTCTTCTTGGACTTTTTAGGCTTGGGGTCAACCTTTTTAAC